AAAAAAAATAATTATAATTAAAAATATTTTTTTTATTAATTATAAATAAAAATATATATAATTAATAATCGTTTGAATCGATTGAATTATCCTCGAACGCGGTGGCCCGGTTCCTTTTCCATAGGGAAATCCCCCGTTATACATGCATATACATTCGGCGCCTGCATGCCTTTTGGCACGCTGTCTTTGAAAATCGGCTTTGAACACGCGGCGCACACAGAAATCGAATAAGAGCAAATAACGGATTTTTGAAGCTAGCCGCTGCCAAAGCGAGTATCGTCGTCGTCGGTTTTACCGTGTGGCCGTGTCGTCAGTCCTCTCGCGCCATCCTTCTCCTCCACGTTCGTGGAAAATCGGTTGACGATCGTAATTCTTACAAACGATTTTCCCTCTCGTTTCGTGCACCGTGCACGCCGTGCAACTGCTCTATTACGCAATAGAAAATGACAGGAAGTTTGACCAGCAGCAGCTACAATACAGATGCAATTAATTGCTTGCTAGCTACGAGTGATCGAGCTTTTAAATTGTAAATCACGATGGATCGGGTGACCGAGTTGGTCGCTGGTTGGTTAGCAAGTTTGTGGAATAATGCCGATTCAACTGTATCGCGTTCTTCTGTTTCGCATCCGGCGCGTACACACACTGCATCTCATAACCAACGTAATAAATGAAATTAATTAATAATTGTAAAACCTTCTTCTATTTTCGTCTTTTCGATTCTTCGACAGACAGGAGATACGATGAGATTTCATTATGCAAGATCACAATTTTATTTTTTTTCCATACCTTGAGATGAAAATTCACCATTGTTACAATGAATGTATGCCATCGCGTTGAGAAATCAAATCATTATGATTGCACGTCTGAAATAACTTTTAAATTACGCATCCAATGGAAAAAAAATTGTTTTGTACAGTCTCAAGGGAGATAAGACATAGCGTATCAATTTTTTGCGTGTGTCGATGGGTTTCGAAACTTTCAAGGTCATCTTTATTTTTTTTCCCATCATAAATCGAAAGAATATTAAATTCCAAGTAAAAAAAAAAAAGTCACACTGATCGTTACGATCAAATCTAATGGTTAGGATATAATTTGTCACGAGGATGAAAACTGCGCAGTATCGTCGAGAGGATTCGACAATTGTTTCCCCAAACAACGATAGATCACGTTCACGGAAAAAAGCATGAATAATAGCAGAAACCATTCTGTCTTTTTTTTTCTCTCTCTCTCTCTCTCTCTTTTCTTCAAATAGAATCAACGTAACAAAATATTTTATTAGGAAATCGAATAAAATTTAATTCAAAGTGCAATAAATAAGCAAGGGTACGATACATCCCGTGTATCTAGTATAGGAATTGAGAATATTTTTAGGGTGGTTTTACAACGCAAGATGCGTCTTCGATTACGTAGCGCGGCGCAACGCGAAATTTACGTAATTTTACGCCGCAAAAATGACCGGATGTCCGGTGAGAATCCTATCGACGGAGGACGAATCTTTCGATCGCGAGATATAGTTACCATGATCGGATTCGTGCGACTGTCTCGACAAAACGATTCGAACGCGTGGATCCTATGGAAGACGAATTAAGGCCAGTGACATGTTATTTTGTAAAGGAGCAACTTCCGTCGATTAACACGGTAATTGCTACATCCGAGAATACCTACCGGTGATACCGTTCGCAGCACGAGAAGAGCAGCTCGATAACCGAACTAAAAGAAAAAAAAAAAAAAAATCTCTACCGATAATAAAATCCAGTCGCGCGTTTGTTTGGCAAATCGATCGAGAGAAACGAACCACCACACGCTTTTTCAATCGTGCCTTATCGCGAACGAGTGACTCATTCGGCGCTCGTGAACGCTTACCTTCCTAAGGCAGTGATTCAATCGACGGAAACAAGGAAACTGAGGCCGAAATAAGAAAATTGGTTTTTCTACTAACGTCGTGTTGCCAGGCGGAGAGAGGTAAAATCGTCAAGGAGGAAGGACGATCCACTGGCCTTGAGAAAAAATTCCCAAGTGTTTGATCTTGCTTTCGTATCGAGTTGAAAAATTCTCGGACGTGACGCGATGAAACAAATAACGAAACACACTCCGTCGCTCGTTAAGTTTTAATCCGCTCGTGCTCGATGTTAAAAGTGGATCGATAACGTTAATTGTGTGAATCTGCTGGTTCTTTTCAACTAGATTGAATAAACCTATTTTGAAAACTTATTTTTAAAAATAAGGTTAGGTTTAGGTTAGGGTAGATATTTTTTTTATGAATAAACTGATATTTTATTAGGTTATTGGTAGATATTTATAGATAATTTGAATATATACACAAAGAGATGTGTAAAATATTCAACTGTTTACCTACATTCCATGTTTCTCATTACATCCACTCGTGAAAGTATAAATTTGTATAAATGTCCGTGATTAGTTTAAAGAAAGAGAAATCTAGGGAATTTTCTTTCGTTCTGGTTTCGCAAACAAAATCTTTGATGAAAGATATTAAAAATATTCGATACATGTAGCAAATATATATATTTATATATTATAAATATACGATAATGGATGGTTTATATTTATATATTATTAATATACGTTAACGTGCATGAAAAATAATTCAATGAAAAGCAGTTGCGTGTAGGAGATATGAGAAAAGGATGAGTATTCTCGCGGAGGCTGCGATAACAATGTTAAAATCTAATGTTTTATCATTCAACGGTGTTTTATCAGAAAGAAACTATCTAGCATACGAGATACTGTATCGCGGTGGTTCTTCATTTTTAAATTTAAAATGTCCACCGTGAATGTTGAAAGAGAATATGTACAAGTTCGTAAACACTAGTATGTATAGAGCATTTGAACAATAGTAACATCTGCTCGCCAAACATTATTTTGGATAGACAGTCTTTTTATGACATTGAACAATTCGAGTTTGGGATGAATTGTGAGACAAAAAGTGTAACAATTTTGATAAAGTATTTCTCAAGATTTACATATTGATAAATAGTATGAAACAGAAAAATTGAAATTCCCTCTTTCTACTTATTTGTTCATGTGCTCGCTTGTTATATGTACGGTGCGACGCCGACGGTATTCTCCACGTTTTTCTACGAGCCAAGTGCGGTAAACACAGATGTTCGAAATCGCAATCTCGTGATACGCTTGTAATAGGTTTATTTCTAAATATGCATGTAAGAAACGACCATCAATTTTTAAGGATTGTTCTTTAAAAAAAAAAAAAAAAAAAACATGTTCTTGCTATAAATCACGGTGCAGTTGTACGTCAAAATAATTTGTGAAATCAAAATTCCTCGTAGTAGATACGCACGGTGAGATATGAGAAATACGTCGCAGGAAACATGGTTTATCGTTAAGCATGGTTATCACCGCGAAAGAAGCAATCAGCCTTTAGCTAAATCGGCATATCAACGAAAAAGAAATCGTTTCCTGATCGCTAACGATCGTTTTAAAACTTTGTAAATTGCGGTAAATTACGACACTTTATCGGCACTTTCACGACGTCCGATAATAGTTTCTAAGGCAACGTTTCTGAAAACAATTCGAAACGAGAGAGATGCGTTGGTATTCGATTCACCTACCTGATAAAAGTGCGCGAAATTTCTACGTGAGAGATCACAACGAAGGCAGATAGAGCGATACGTACGTATATCGAAGCAACAGGTGGATCGATCGACTCGCTCGGACGAAAATGGGATTTTTCGTACGTCGGACAACTTGGCCGGGCAACTACTTTCGAAAGACAACTCTCGATTTGAAGAAACTGTATTTACGCACCTCGTCTGTGGAGGCATTGCTGCCATTGAGCTCTTCTTGTACGATGCTGTTCGGATTTTTCTCCGGAGTCTTGATCACCTTGACGTTCGCCATGGTGCCCTTGATAACGATGTTGTTGGCCCTGAAATATTCGTCGGCCTCCTGGTCGACCACCAGAAGCTTCGTCTCACTGGGGAAGGCCTTTATGCGTTCAACAACCTGCTTGTGGGTCTCGTTCGCAATGTTGATCTCATTAACCTCGATGATTCGATCACCTTGCTGTAAACCAGCAGCCTGACTGGGAGAACCGTCGTCCACCTTGCCGATAAACTGGCCATTCTTCCCCTTTTCCGCGTGCAGATTGAACCCGTAGCCGTCAAAATCGTCCCACTTGACGATATGGCAGAGCCGTGCACACGGGATCTTATCACCCTTCAACGAAGACATGTCTCACCCCTGGCAGCAGCGTTAGCGCACTAAACGAAACGAAACGACGAAAAAATCGACCGAAACGAAGAATCGGGGGGACCGACTAACGACTAGAGACGAAGAAAGTGAAGTAACGCGCTATACGCGGACGGCTACGAGAAAGTTTACGCACCGTGTCGCACCGCAATCGGTAACAAAATTTTCTGTGTGGAAAATCGACGATCGAGGCGCGGTCCCACGGTTCGAGGCCCGTACCTCATACGGCGGCTGGTTGACTAGGCGATTGGACAACTGGGCAGGCTTCAGCCTCGCCGATTTTTCTCTGCACCTGCCACGAGGCGATTATTCGAACCGACTGGCGGGCGGTATGCACCGTCATGGATCCAAGTGAATCGGCGGCCACTAGCGTGGGGGATTCGAGACTTAAAGGTTGGTTCACGCGCATGCCAGCTCACGTGACCAATAGCCGGGAACGAATTGACAGTCGGATCCAACGTGTGATCGATCGATATCGGCATGCGAGACGCTGTTGCTGTGTCTGGAAAAAATGGACTGAAAATGAAAGAAGGAAAACTAGGAGAACGAAGGTGAACGCAATACGTTTGATTCGTCTGATATGGTTGGTAGTAGGGTGTCTCGGCGCTGTTGTTATTCACGTGACAGCTACTGTAGCACCATCTGTCGGTAAATTGATAAAATCGAAAGGAATTTATAAGCAAAGTGCACAAAGCTTGATGAAAATTTGTCGAGTTTTATGTTATTGTTATTATGTAACGAATACGTTGTTTTTCATAATGTTGCTTTGACGAACACATCGTAATATCAGCCATAGTTATTCGCAGCAATTGTCACTTTTTGAAAGAAGAGGCTAAACACCTGTTGCAACTGCGAATTCGATCAATCAAGAATTACAGTAATCGGTAAAAATGCTATAATATAAATATAAATAGAAACATTGATAATTTCAAGTGAACGAGGAAGGAAGAAGGATTTTTTTGCATCATAGTTTATATCGGAGCCTAATCGTTTGAATGACTTTTATTAACTATTATGCATCGAAATTTTGTAAATACGTAAAGAACAATTGGAATTACATATTACGTTGTGACACACAAAATACTTGATGCCTTTCAGAGTAGACAAATTTTTGAAATTCAATGTATGTTCATTGTTTGAGGAGTGAAATTCTACTTTACAACTCCAGATACTTAAATATCTGTACAATTATTTGTGACGTATACATACACATACGTATACATACATATTGGACAACTATCTACGTATGTAATAAAATAAGCACGTTCACGTTGAGTGGTAGCAAAAAATATTTCTTAATATTTAAAAAAACTTAAAAAAACTTAAAAAAAAAACTATAGCATTAGTTCTTAATAATGTATTTATTCAAATTACGAATTAATATTTATTATAATATGGATTATAAATCATAAATTAGAATTTTTAGTATTTTGTTTAAACGCAATTATAGGCATTTATAATTACTAAATAAATCATTGCCAAAGCAAACATCAATAATAAATATGATCTAGTATGCGAACATGATCTACTCGAACAATCGTCAATTTAAAACAGACAGGTACAAATAAGTACCTATCCAAGTGCGTGTAACGCGATAAAAGAAGGTAAATCATGCGATAACAATAGTGACAAATCTTTGATAAAACGGGCATGAAATGATTCGAGTTCTTCGAATACGTTTATTACTCAAACAGAATGTTTCTTTTTCTAAAGGAGAAGGCGTTCTTTGTCCTTCTTCCCCTTTTAAATAAGAATTTAAATAATTATCTATATAAAAAAATTACTCACTTGAATTTAAAAATATTTTACCTTTGTTGTGTGGAACCATAGAAATTGTAATTCTAATTAAGTAATGAGCCAATTCTGTGTGTAAATGAATAACTAAATAAATCATTCGTAATTATTTAAATACGAAAACGCATCAGATTTATAATCATAGGAAATGCATAAAAAGTTGCAGAAAATTAATTAGATGCACGTACTGTTTACTTGTTCATCGTTCACAATAATAACACACGTGTTTGCATATTCAGTCGTCTAATTTCTGTCTGTATATCTTCGTACTTTACCGATGACTAATCGCGATGATTGCACTATGTATAGGCACGTCATGTTGCACTTTTGTTCTCTACCAATTTTACACTTTTGTTAAATATATATGTTCCTTTTGAGAATTTATTCTTACAGAATGATTTTTATTGCAAATATATACAAGAGCAATAGAATTGCTCATTTATAAGAATTGATAAAATTATTGACTCATGGTATCGAAGCTTTTAAAATTCGTATCGATTTTGAGTAACATTCCTTATCAAGGTTCACTTCGTAGCTGATATATTCGAAATAAATAATTTTCCAAACAAGTTAATTTTCTCTTTGATTTCGAGTTAGATTAATTAATAATAAAAGGTGAATGAAAGTTGAATTAATAATAAATAATAAAAGGTGTATTTCTCCAAGTACCAAGTTATATTTATTGAGGCGTAGGGCCATTGGAATGCACGGTACGATCCTGAAGGTCGAGCGTGGTGGATGCGCGAATCTGGATGCGCAGTGGTCACCGTAATGGTGCGCGATGCGCAAGGCGGACGTAGCGGTTGTTCGAACAGTAGTCAGGTATAGTTGCCGTTGGTACGTTGTGACGCGGTTAGTTTGTTATTGACGTGGTTCGTTTCCGTAACGCGTAGGATCGTGCAAATGGAAACGCATAATGCCAATTGCCGGCATTAGGACAGTGACTGACACGTAGATTTGTTTCTCGATAGGGGGAACGACAGATGAATATTTGTAACCGTTCGCTGTGACCGAGTTGAGCAAAATGTGGAGTCCGACACACGTTCAAGTGACAGGTAAGTGTTACTTGCGAGCAAGTTTCTCAAACGCGATGGATAAGAAGGTTATTTACGCGGCAGGTGATTCGCCTGATCGAAACGCACGCATCGTAAACCAATTATCATCAACACGTAAGCTAGGTTACGTATCCTTCGTCGAATGTAGGCGATTGAAACCTTACAATCTCGTTGAACAATTCCAGAAATTTATTTGTCAAGAAAGCAGGTGTGATGCACGTCTCTATAGCCAACGACGCGTGCCTTACTTCGAAGCGACCTCGTTCGTCGTGCTACGGTTTTTAAATGGTTAATGCGATCATTTCTCTTGGCTAACGTTTATCGCTGTAAATGAAAAAAGCGAATGTCGAGGGAAACGTTCACCGCGTCGAAGCGTAACGCGATGAAACAGATTGGGAAGAGGACGGTGAAAATCCGAATACCTTAAAAAAAAAAAAGGAGCGAACGCTCTTCCAATCGCGCGAAGAGATAGCGATCTTACATGCACATAACTTGCGCACTTTAGTTTCTTCGGTAGATGTAAATATTTTCACTCTAGGCGGACGTTTCGTCGAGCACGATTCTGCGACGTCTCCGAGTCGTGCCAAAATAGAGGCCGTGTATTTAAATCGCGCGCGGTCGTCCACCGACCGCCTGAACACTGGTCCGCTTATTTTCCTCGACGAAATTCGGCGAAATTCGCACGATGAGTGCACGCCAATGGTGCAAAAAAATTTGAGAAAAATATCCTTACCAAGGCCGGATTCTATCTTCGTTGCGGTTTCGTTTGGACGTTTAAGAAGATCGTCTTTCTCGTCAATTTCAACATTAGTAACCAAGTAAAGTGTCACGAGTTGACGAGGAGCATTTGATACTTTCGTTTCGATGCAAAATAGGTAGAGTGTGAAAGCATACGTAAGAGCAGCTGATGTCCCCCTTCTTACTCGTGTATTGGAATCCTCTTTTTCAGGATCGTAATTGTATCCTTAAGGGCCCGTAAGTTTCTTTCATTTGCAAATAAAGTCTTAAATCATATGTTTTGTTTTATCATGCGCGAGGGATCGATCGAAGAAGATCGATTGAATCTCCTTTATGCATGTAATTTTCGTATTTTTAATCAGGTTCGGTGTAAGAATCTGCACGGTATTTATGCGCTACATGGTTGCAGAATTTTCTACTCATGGAAGAAAAAAGTATTCCAACTTAATTAGCTGGGAGCCCCGGACCGTTAAGAATGTTCCTCTCCGAGTAAACGGTATTTGGCTGCTTCGTCTGTAAGTCGTCGGGTCGTGGAAGCATGTGGCGAGAGAGCCATGATTTTCCCACCCAGTTGGCTTTGTTCGACGAGAAATCGAGGAAAACGATACGACACGATACGATACGATACCATTTTACATGATACGACTGTAGAAGGAATCTGTTAGTCATCGAATACGTTTCATGTATCGTTGATCAGGGTACGATGCAATTGCAAATGTTGTTATAGGTGGAAGCTCCGTAGCAGAGATTCCATCCGACCGTTGACATATATTTCGTTGCATAAATCAAATGTTACGTTATTTGAAATGCTCGCTGTGATATATTAAGCGCAGTATTTATTTCTGACGTTATTGCATCCTTCATAAAAAGAGGCATTACGGGATGGTCAAAAATAACAATTAGAGCAACAGTGCGCTAAAAATGAAATTTCGCGATAAGAATGCAATATAATAGCTCTAT